ATAATAATTGATACATACATCTAACCAAATATTTTTCAATCTTTGTAAACTACCATCAAGGGCATTATATTTTGATGATTCTCATCAGCTTTACTTTCCAGTCTATTGCCAGACTGGCTCCGCAGGGTCCAGTTTGGAAATCTCAAATAAAGCCAAGGGATTCAATTCAAATCACAACAATTGGCAATCTGTTGGTGCTGAGCAAATGTCAATATTACCAATAATTTTCCAAGGTAGATAAGAAGTTTTCAGCACCATGCGCTTTTAATTATAGATTTTCTTGTAAAGTATTGCTCAGCAATGTCGGTAAAAGGGCATTTAACTCAGTCTTCCAACAAATTACGTACATTAGCAACTCCTAATACTGCACGATTCGATCAAAAACAAAAACAAAATCAAAAACAAAATCACATGCTTCAAGTACAAATATTTACACATAAACTTCCAGTGGGAAACTGTTGGTCGAAATGACGTCGATATTGAGTGGATCAATAGTACCTCCGGGGAGGTTCTTCTGCTTCGACGCCATTGCGACCAACTACAATTGAGTGACACTGGCAAATATCAGACAAGTAGGAAAACTACAAGTCATTGATCCGCGCGCAGCAAGTCCTCAAAAACCTACTGACGCGCAGAGTATGGCATATCATAATACAAGGACTTTGCGATAAACCCACATCAATAGGTACTTCGCCATCATCCCAGAATTATTTTTTTTTACAACATTCTTACATTGCCCAGCCGGACCACTAAAATTTTCTTTCATAGCAAAACAGATGCAATGTCTCAATCATTTGAAACAGGACAACTAACAGCACATGGTCGACAGCTGTCCGCATTTTCTTGTCATATGGCATATTTTTATTTAACTATCGTGTACTGGATAAACTGGGCCATACGAGGGGGGAGCGGAGGCGGGGGGTGATCGCACCTATAAATGGTCCACACGAATGGTCTCCCCAGCCACATGCCTGTCGAAGGCCACCAACACTGACTCCCGGGCACCAGTCCGGGGCGATGGTGACACGCTTGGTGGTGAGGTGAAGACCGGCGGCTAGTACCTCTTGTGCTGCTGCCGGCCGTGGCGCCAGTCCATCTGGTCGCGCGTCGAGCCGCCGCCGCCGCCGCCGCCTCCGCCGCCGTGGTGGTGGTGGTGGTGGTGATGGTGGCGCTTCTTCTCCGCGGCCGCGATGGCCGACGGCTTGACGCCGACCTGGCCGTTGTAGGCGGCGGCCACGTCCGTGACGACGAGCTCGGAGCCGTCGCGCATGCCGGCGCGATAGGCGTGGTGCGGCTCGTCCATGGTCTCCTTGCGGCGCAGCGCGGCGTGCACGGCGTGGTGGTGCTGCTGCTGCGCGGCGTGGGCCTTGGCGCCCGCAGACTGGTGCAGGTTCTCCCACGCCTGCCGGTAGTAGCGGTTCAGGCCGCCGCGGCTCTCCGAGCTGCTCGAGTCGTACGAGGCCACCGTGTTGCAGTCCGGCGAGGCTCGGTGGCGGTAGTGTTTGGCACTTCGGTTCCTGCGGGGAAAAGAAAGACGGACCCGATTAGCGAGAGGAGGCGTGATGGCGTTGCGAGGAGAACCGCCCGGAAGCCAGTCTGATGCGTTTGAATGTATTTAGCCAAATGCGTTTACATTTAATTCCAAAGAACGTTACAGAACCATGTAATTGTTGTTATTTCGATTTAAAAAAACAAACAGTCTACAAATGTGAATGCAAGACTCCTCTCATGCTTCGATGCACTCAGCCCTCATGCATTTGTACACTACAATCGATATGCAAGATTTAAAAAAAATCGTACTACAATGACAGCATACACGTGATCTAGAACGTTGCGCATGACTGGGTGGTGGTCACCGCGAGTTAGGGATGGGCGATCTCGATCCGATCTCAGCTAGATCGATCTTTTCCTTTCGATTTTCCGATATTTTAAATCGATTCAATGGCTGTCCGATGTTTTGGGTATCGATTCACGACGATCCGATTTTATATCCGATTCAAAGTATGTAAGAAAATGGCTTAAAAAGCGCCGAAATCTGACTTGCGCGTGTTTGTGGATTGGTGATCCCGATCCGATCTTGGCTTGATCGATATTTTCCTTTCGATCTCCCGATTTTTTAAATCGATTTAATTCGGTCCGATATATCGTTGAATCGATACCCTTCATGTCAAAAGATCGATTCGCAGAGATCGATTCATTTCTTTTCGATTCCCATCCCTACCGCGAGTGCCATATGAAGCATGCAGGGCCTTATTCACAGTGGCAGATGTGTTCGGCGCGCCTGCAAGAGGCGGCATAGGCCAGCCCGCAATACT